AATTGATATTTTCAAAATGTAACTACAAAAGGGAAAAAAAAACTGAAAGAATTTGATTAAATTTACAATTTAGTAATTTTCGGATTTTTTAGTTTTTCTATATTTCAGCTTCTAAACTTTTCTGTTTTATAATTTTGTAATTATTCGACTTTCAATTTTTTCGATTTTAAATTTTCCATTTGTTCGATTTTTCGATTTTACAACTGAATTGCATTTTTTTTTTGATTTTACAATTATTCAATTTTTGATTTTTTCAATTTTCGATTTCTCAATTTATAATTTTCCAATTTTTCGATTTTAATTTTTCCGGCATTCGATTATTATTAATTTCTCAAGCTTTCGAATGTTTGGTTTTACAATTTTTCCGTTTTGGATTTTTCGATTTTTTCCGCTTTTCAACTTTTCCAATTTCACAATTTTTCAATTTTCCACTATTACAATTATTCGATTTTCATTTTTTCGAATTTTTAATTTTGCAATTTTGGATTTTCGTGTTTTCAATTGTCACGAAAAAAATTGAAATTGATATTTTTAAAACGTAAATACAAAAGGAAAAAAAAACTGAAAGAATTTGATTCATTTTACAATTTAGCAATTTTCGGATTTTACAGTTTTTTTCGTTTTGAATTTTTCGATTTTTCAGTTTTATAGTTTTTCTATATTTCAGCTTCTAAACTTTTCTGTTTTATAATTTTGTAATTATTGGACTTTCGATTTTTTCGATTTTAAATTTTCCGTGTGTTCGATTTTCCAATTTTACAGTTGAATTGCATTTTTTTTTAATGTTACAATTATCCAATTTTTAATTTTTTCAGTTTTCGATTGCTCAATCTATAATTTTCCAATTTTTCGATTTTAATTTTTCCGGCTTTCGATTACACTGGTCAACAGCTAAGCTCTAACTTTTATTATAACAGCCAATTATTATTTAATTAACAATTTTAAATGATATTATAAACGGCTAAACCCTAACTTAGCTCTCATTTAAAAGTAATCTTCAATATTATCCTTTGAAAAATGCAAAAATCGTACTATTAAGTAATAGGAAACTTTCTATAAGGTGTATTTTTTTGTGATCAAATTGCTACAAACTTCTTGGGAAACAATAAGAAAACTGCGTTTATTAAGTAGAAAACATGTTATCATCATATAAAAAATTTAAAATTAACATATTCTTAAAAGTGCATTTTATGTATTCGCATCTTGATTTTTTCCCCAAAAATTATGACGACGTGAGTGACGGACATAGAGAACGCTTCTATCTGGGCATTTTGTGGATACAAAAACGTTACCAAGATCGATGGAACACCTAAATGCTCGCAGAATCCTGCGGGACCATCGAGCGAGAGATCTCCAATGAAATCCATAGGAGGCAACCGAAAAAACGTCGGTCTTAGCTGTTTCTTTTGTTTTTTTCGTTTTTTAAACTACAATCGTTGTTTTTTTCTTAATTATGGCTGTTCTTTTGTTAATACATCACTTTTTGCCGTTAAAGATACAAAAATTAAATTGTTTTACCTGCTTTTTTGTTTTTAACATTAAATATGCATTTTTATTTTTAATTGAGCTAAGTTGTAAGGTTTATGCCCTTTGTTACAAACACCGAGACAAATTAAACGAAAACATTACAATTATGTCAAAGTTAGAGAGAAAAAATTGAATTTTGTTGACCAGTGTTATTAATGTCTCAAGCTTTCGAATGTTTCGTTTTAGGATTTTTCTGTTTTAGGATTTTTCGATTTTTTGCGCTTTTCAACTCTTCCAATTTCACAATTCTTCAATTCTCCACTTTTACAATTATTCGATTTTTATTTTTTCGAGTTTTTAATTTTGCAATTTTGGATTTTCGATTTTTTCCGCTTTTCAACTCTTCCAATTTCAGTTTTTCAATTCTCGACTTTTACAATTATTCGATTTTTATTTTTTCGAATTTTTAATTTTGCAATTTTGGATTTTCGTGTTTTCAATTGTCCCGGAAAAAATTGAAATTGATATTTTCAAAATGTAATTACAAAAGGGAAAAAAAACTGAAAGAATTTGATTCATTTTACAATTTATCAATTTTTGGATTTTACAGTTTTTTGAGTTTTGAATTTTTCGATTTTTCACTTTTATAGTTTTTCTATATTTCAGCTTCTAAATTTTTCTGTTTTATAATTTTGCAATTATTCGATTTTCAATTTTTTCGATTTTAAATTTTCCGTGTGTTCGATTTTTCAATTTTACAGTTGAATTGCATTTTTTTTTTTACAATTATCCAATTTTTAATTTTTTCAGTTTTCGATTTCTCAATCTATAATTTTCCAATTTTTAGATTTTAATTTTTCCGGCTTTCGATTATTAATTTCTCAAGCTTTCGATTGTTTGGTTTTACAATTTTTCCGTTTTAGGATTTTTCGATTTTTTCCGCTTTTCAACTTTTCCAATTTCACAATTTTTCAATTCTCCACTTTTACAATTATTCGATTTTTATTTTTTCGAATTTTTAATTTTGCAATTTCGGATTTTCGTGTTTTCAATTGCCCCGGAAAAAATTGAAATTGATATTTTCAAAATGTAACTACAAAAGGGAAAAAAACTGAAAGAATTTGATTAATTTTACAATTTAGCAATTTCCGGATTTTACAGTTTTTTGAGTTTTGAATTTTTCGATTTTGCAGTTTTATAGTTTTTCTATATTTCAGCTTCTAAACTTTTCTGTTTTATAATTTTGCAATTATTCGACTTTCAATTTTTTCGATTTTAAATTTTCCATGTGTTCGATTTTTCAATTTTACAGTTGAATTGCATTTTTTTTTATTTTACAATTATCCAATTTTTCATTTTTTCAGTTTTCGATTTTAATTTTTTCGGCTTTCGATTATTAATTTCTCAAGCTTTCGAATGTTTGGTTTTACAATTTTTCTGTTTTAGGATTTTTCGATTTTTTCCGCTTTTCAACTTTTCCAATTTCACAATTTTTCAATTCTCCACTTTTACCATTTTTCGATCTTTATTTTTTCGAATTTTAAATTTTTCGGTTTTACAATTTTGCATTTTTATTTTAATTTTACAATTTTGGATTTTCGTGTTTTCAATTTTAACGCAAAATTTTGAAATGGTCTAATTTTTTGATATTTTCAAATGTAACTACAAAAGGAAAAAATAAATTTAAAAAAAACTGAAAGAATTTGATTAATTTTACAGTTTTGCAATTTTTCGATTTTAATTTTTCATGCTTTCGAATTTTTAATTTTACAATTTAGCAATTTTCGAATTTTACATTTTTCCGATTTTTGAATTTTTCGATTGCTGTAGAAATAGTCTAATTTTTTGATATTTTCATATATATGTAACTACAAAAAGAAAAAAATAAATTAAAAAAACTTAAAGGATTTGATGTTTTATTTTCTAAATTTTGACTAAAATATGTCAAAAATTGATCTAATTTTTCCAAAATTTAAAGAAAAAACGGTAATATTTATGTCAGGATTACACCGTAGGTATCAAAATTGACGTGTTCATCCCCACTAAAAAATCGATGACGTAATTCAAAAACTTCTATAAGAAAAACGCAAAAAATTAAATTCGTAGAAGCAGATTTTACAGAAATTTTGACAAGATTTTAAAAATGTTTTCTCGACATTTAATAACTATCGAAGAATGAAAAAGTAGGTCCTTCGTTTATGACAGATATTCTCCGAAACTACTGGACTGATTGTTGTAAATTTTTATATGTATTTTGGCAGTATCCTGTCTCATCACCCCCACCAACAATTTGATGACGTCACCTCAAAATTTCGCTAGGTAAATGTTATTAATTTTATAATCTGTTTCTACACCAGTGCTCTATTATTCCGTCGTTAATTTTAAATTTAAATTTTATCACGAAACTTTTCCTTGTTTCGCTCTCCTTTATTTAATTTAATGCTTTTAATTTACAAAAATCCCGCGATCCTCATCCTCGTCATGTCTTGTTTCTGTTGAAATTTGAAATTCCTTTTCTCGCTTCTGGTTCTTGCTTTTTCTTTTAATATTCCACCCGCTCTCATTTCCTGGAAATGTAATTTAAAATCGCGCTATTTGTGCGCATTATCGATTTTCTTCTGGACTCCTTCATATTTTGCAGTTTCTATTTTTAAAAATATCCGTTTATTATTTAAATTTCGTAAGAGCTGTTCCAAACTTCGTCAGAACGAGATTTGAGTATATAGCTCGACTAAAAAAAATATATATATATACACAAAAATAGCTCGACTAATTTTTTTTTAATTGATATTTTCGCAAAATGCAAATTTAATTGATATTTTCGCAAAATGCAAACTTGAAATCTAGACGACGAAAATATTCCCAGACTCTTTCGGGCTCTTTGAACTGGAATCCATTAAATGTCAACGTAATAACCTATCCCTTCATGCATGAAACTAGATTTTCCGTGAAGAGGATCTCGGTACATGTTTTCCCCGATAAAAGTCCATTAAGCGAAGAAAGCGTTCTTAAAATAAGAGCTGGCGGTGCGTTGGTGGTCTATATTGAGGGACTCGCTAGATATCATATTAAACTGTAGCTTTTTTCATGTTCTAAGTTCTTAAAAACAGTTCAATCGACCAAAAAATGTGACAGAGAAATATACAATTAAATAAAAACATATATTAATTTTTTTCTTAATAAAAATCAACAATATTGAAATAAACCAACACCATTTCCTAGATTTCATAAAAGGCGCCACTTTTTCCATCACTTATCGCCGCCACTTTTTACGCTCGCTTTTTCCGCCTCCGTCTTATCACTTTTCGTCCGAGCCAGTGCAGAGTGTTCTTTGATAGTGATCTAATTTCGAAAATTTCGACATGGCTAAAACTCGAGGCGTGAAAAACAAGGCGGCGTCGAGGGTCACGAACGGGGTGGCCCATCCCAACCCCATTAAAAAACCGGCACGACCGACCAAACACGTTTCTTGGCGTAATATAAACCCGAAGTGTGTCCATAAAATTTTTAATTGAACGTTTCTGATGGCGCAGGGGATGAACAAGGGGTGAGCCTGACGGGAACGCCGGAACTCTCCGATCCCGCCATCCTGGCCGTCAATCCCAAGTTCCGCTACGGCAAGGAGGAGCTGCTGAAGCTGAGGGACGCGCCGCTGTCGCAGCGGAAGCCCGACTTCTTGGACGTCAACGAAGTGTGAGTAGCAAAAATAGAGTGTATACGCGAAACGTTCATTGTCCGATCGTTGCGGCGTCCGGCACGGACGCCGCATTGATAGCCCGGTGTAACCGGATGTGTATATCGCGTTTTTTAGTTCTCCGACTATTTGGGACCCCACGCGCTGGAACTCCGATCGCAAGAAATCTGACACCCCCACGGAAAACGGAACCAGACTAGGCGACGAGCACAGGGTGAATAGTCACGATTAAAAAAATATATTATTGTTATTATTGTTATTATTATTGTAGCGCCGCCCTGGCGACCCCCGCGAGCGCCTCCGCAAAGAGAACGACGGCATCGTCCTCAGCCCCCAGCGCCGCAGCTTCAACTCGGGCTGCTGCGTGCCGGGGCGGGAGCCCCGCAGCGCCGCCAACCGCCCCCACAGCCCGCTGGGCGGCAAGAGCGACGCGCCGCCGCACCTGGGGGGCGGCCGCGAGATCCAGACGAGCAACCGGCGCATCGGCAGCGGCCGCATCCTGAGGGACTCGTGGGACTTCGGCGAGAAGCAGGAGAGCAACGATAACGACTACAACTTCAGGCCGCAGCCGCGGGGCGACAACCAGGAGAGGCGGACGTTCGGGCGGGACTTCGACGGGGGCAGGGACAAGGAGAAGGAGAGGCGGGGCGGCAGGTTCGGCGACAGGCGGAGGATCGGCGAGTCGCGGGACGAGGAGCCCGAGTGGTTCTCGGGGGGGCCGTCCTCGCAGAACGACACGATCGAGTTGCGCGGCTTCGACGAGTCGGATCGGCTCGGCAAGAAGAAGATGTCGCCGTCGCAGGCGAAACGGGCGAGGGATTGGTTCAAGAAGAAGAGCGAGGTGGCGAGCGTGACCGAGGAGAAGGAGGAGATTGTTATCGAGGGCGGGCCGGACGGGAGGTCCACCCCGCAGGTGACGGACGGGGACAAGGAGGGCGGTAATGAGGGCGGGGCGAATGTGGCGAGCACGAATCATGCGGGCGGGGAGGGTCAGCAGGGTGGAGAAGGCGACGGGAAGAATTGCCAAGAGAAGAATTTGAGCGACCAGTCGTACATTTTTGAGGATATTTTGAAGAGCGACACGATTCCAGGGCTACCGGGGTTGCTTACTGTAAGTTTAAAGAAATGTAATACGTATAAGATTTTCTCAAAAATTTTTTGAAAATTTTTGGAAAATCATCAAAATTTTCTGGGTTGCTGTAATTCCTGTGGTAAAAATTATTTCATATTCGTAATCTGCGAATAATTGTTGATATTTTTTTTCCATTCAAGTAGAGCTCATTTTTTTTTTTGAAAATTTTTCGAATCCAAGTTTTAGTTTTCCAGTTTATTGGAGAAAATTGAGAAAGACTGTTTCTAGATTCGTAATCTTCAATCAAAAATTGTAATTTATATAAAATTCTGTATAAGGTATATTTTTGCAATTCGATTTAAGCCTCTTCCAATTTTTTTTTTTGAAATTTTTGGGAAAATTTCCATTTTTTTTGGACATTTTTACGAAAATTTCCAAAATTTCCAGAATCCAATTTCTTGTTTTCCGGTTAATTGGAGAAAATCTAGAAAAACTGTCTCTAGATTTGTAGTCTTCTATTTTTCGAATTCGCGGTTTTAGACTTTTGGGTTTTTAAATTTTTCTGTTTCTCGCCGTATCAAGATTTCCATATTTCGATTTATCGATTTTTTTCAATTGTAAATTTTTCCACTTTTAACTGTTCGATTTTTCGATTTTCTTGGCCTATTTCGATTTTTCAAGTCTACTTTTCCATTTCCCAATTTCTCGATCTTTTGTTGTTTCGATTTTTCCAATTTGTCGATGTTTCGAATTTTCGATTTTCCAATATTTCATTTTATTTTTGAAAATTTTCAATTTCTCGAATTATAAGTTTTTCGATTCTTCAATATTCCGAGTTTTTAATTTTGGATTTTCTTTTTGTCTACTCTGGAATTTCTCTGTAAAATAAAAATTATTTCGACTGATCGATTTTTCAATTGATTTAGAATTTTCCAATTTTTCAACTTTATTAAGTTTCAGTCTCTGGATTTTTCAATTTGAAATTTTTCAATTTTTTACTGTTCAATTTTTCTACTCCTCTGCTTTTCCATTTCACGATTTCTCGATTTTTTGTTATAGATTTCTCAGTTTTTCGATGTTTCGATTTCCCAATATTTTTTCATTATTTCATTTTTGAAAATTTTCAATTTGTCGATTTATAAGTTTTTCGACTCTTCAATATTCCGAGTTTTTTAATTTTGGATTTTCGTTTTCTCGGCTTATCGTTTTTTCCACTTCCGTTCTTCAATTTTTGAATTTTTAATTTTTTTCAATTTTTCAAATCTTCAATTTTCGGATATTTTGGTTTTTCAATTTTTTTAAGAAAATTAAATTTTTCCATTTCTTCTTTTATTCGTTTTTCATTCAATTTGTCGAATGTTTTCATTTTTGACATTTCAATTTATTAGATTTTTTAAATTTAACTATTTTTCGATTTTTTAGTTTTTTTCGTTTTTACCACTTTTTTGAAGTTTTGATTTCTTGGCATTTTTTAAAATTTTTTGACTTTTTAATTTTTAGATTTCTCGATATTTCAAAATTTCGTTTTTGAAAAAGTTTCGATCTCGGAATTTTTAAATTTTTGCATATTTTGATTTTTGGATTTTTTGATATTTCGACTGATAGACTTTTCAATTGAGTTAGAATTTTCCAATTTTTCAATTTTTTACTGTTCAATTTTTCTACTCTGCTTTTCCATTTTCCGATTTCTCAATCTTGTGTTATAGATTTTTCGGTTTTTCAATTTTTCGATTTCCTAATATTTGTTCATTATTACATTTTTGAAAATTTTCAATTTCTCGATTTTTCGATTCTTCAGTTTTTGGATATTTTGACTTTTCAATTTTTTTATAACTTTAGATTTTTCGATTTTCCAATTTGTCGATGTTTCGAATTTTCGATTTTCCAATACTTCATTTTATTTTTGAAAATTTTCAATTTCTCGATTTATAAGTTTTTCGATTCTTCAATATTCCGAGTTTTTCGTTTTCTCGGCTTATCGTTTTTTCCACTTCAGTTCAATTTTTGAATTTTTAATTTTTTTCTATTTTTCAATTTTTCGGTTATTCAATTTTTGGATATTTTGGTTTTTCAATTTTTTTAGGGAATTAAATTTTTCCATTTCTTCTTTTATTCGTTTTTTTCAATTTTTCGTAAATTTTTGATATTTCAATTTATTAGATTTTTTAAATTGAACCATTATTCGATTTTTCAGTTTTTCGTTTTTACCAATTTTTTGAACTTTTGATTTCTTGGCATCTTTTTAAATTTTTTGACTTTTAAATTTTTAGATTTCCAGATATTTTCCAATTTTTCAATTTTATAAAGTTGCAATCTCTAGATTTTTCAATTTGAAATTTTTCAATTTTTAATTGTTCAATTTTTCTACTCCTCTGCTTTTCCATTTCCCGATTTCTCGATCTTTGCTTATAGATTTCTCGGTCTTTCGATTTTTCGATTTCCCAATATTTCATGATTTCATTTTTGAAAATTTTTAATATCTCGATTTTTCGATTTTTGATTCTTGATTGGATATTTTGATTTTCCAATTTTTTAATACTTTCGATTTTTCGATTTCTGGATTTTTTCTTTAATTAATTTTTTCAATTTTACGAATTTTTAAATTTTTGATATTTCAATTTTTAGATTTTTTAAATTTAATCATTTTTCGATTTTTCAGTTTTTGTTTTTACGATTTTTTTGATGTTTTGATTTCTCGACATCTTGGTTATTCGATTTTCTAAATTTTTTGGCTTTTCAATTTTTAGATTTCTCGATTTTTCAAAATTTCATTTTTGAGAAATCTTGGATCTCGGCATTTTTCAATTTTTATGTATTTTAATTTTTTGATTTTTTTATATTTCGACTGGTCGATTTTTCAATTGATTTAGAATTTTTCAATTTTTCAATCTTATTAAGTTTCAATCTTGAGATTTTTCAATTTAAAATTTTTCGATTTGTAACTGTTCGATTTTTCCACTTCTCTGCTTTTCCATTTCCCGATTTCTCGATCTTTTGTTATTTCGATTTCTCGGTTTTTTGGGTTTTTGACTTTTCTGCTTTTCGATTTTCAATATTTCGTGATATCATTTTTGAAAATTTTTAATTAGTCGATTAATGAGGTTTTTTTTTTGTTCTTCAATATTCCGAGTTTTTTAATTTTGGATTTCGTTTTTCCGATTTCTCGGCTTTTCGTTTTTTCCACTTCAATTTTTCGATTTTAAAGTCTCACATTTTTGAATTTTTAATTTTTTTCGCTTTCTCGATTCTTCAGTTTTTGGATATTTTGATTTTATATTTTTTTTCAAACTTCGAATTTTTAAATTTTTGATATTTCAATTTTTGGATTTTTTTAAATTTAACCATTTTTCGATTTTTCAGTGTTTCGTTTTTTGGATTTTTTTTGAAGTTTTGACTTATTGACATCTTGGTTATTCGATTTTTTAAATTTTTTGACTTTTCAATTTTTAGATTTCTCGATTTTTCAAAATTTCATATGTAAGAAATTTTCGATCTCGGAATTTTTCAATTTTTACATATTTTAATTCTTGGATTTTTTGATATTTCGACTGATCGATTTTTCAATTGATTTAGAATTATTCAATTTTTTTAAGTTTTCATCTCTAGATTTTTCAATTGTAAATTTTTCGAGTTTTAACTGTTTTGATTTTTCTACTCCTCTGCTTTTCTATTCCCCGATTTCTCGATCTTTTGTTATTTCGATTTCTCGGTTTTTCGGTTTTTTGACTTTTCTGCTTTTCGATTTTCCAATGTTTCGTGATTTAATTTTTGAAAATTTTCAATTTCTCGATTTATAAGTTTTTTGATTGTTCAATATTTCGAGTTTTTTAATTTTGGATTTTCGTTTTTCCGAATTCTGGGCTTTTCGTTTTCTCCACTTCAATTTTTAGATTTTTAAGTTTCAAATTTTTGCATTTTGAATTTTTTTCGCTTTCTCGATTTTCCAGTTTTTGTATATTTTGATTTTTCATTTTTTTTAAACTTCGAATTTTTAAATTGTTGATATTTCAATTTTTAGATTTTTAAAATTTAACCATTTTTCGATTTTTCAGTGTTTCGTTTTTACGATTTTTTTGAAGTTTTGACTTATTGACATCTTGGTTATTCGATTTTTTTAATTTTTTGACTTTTCAATTTTTAGATTTCTCGATTTTTCAAAATTTCATATGTAAGAAATTTTCGATCTCGGAATTTTTCAATTTTTACATGTTTTAATTTTTGGATTTTTTGATATTTCGACTGATCGATTTTTCAATTGATTTAGAATTATTCAATTTTTTTAAGTTTTCATCTCTAGATTTTTCAATTGTAAATTTTTCGAGTTTTAACTGTTTTGATTTTTCTACTCCTCTGCTTTTCCATTTCCCGATTTCTCGATCTTTTGTTATTTCGATTTCTCGGTTTTTCGGTTTTTTGACTTTTCTGCTTTTCGATTTTCCAATTTGTGGATGTTTCGATTTTTCGATTTCCCAATGTTTCGTGATTTCATTTTTGAAAATTTTCAATTTCTCGATTTATAAGTTTTTCGATTGTTCAATATTCCGAATTTTTTAATTTTGGATTTTCGTTTTTCCGATTTCTCGGCTTTTCGTTTTTTCCACTTCAATTTTTCGATTTTAAAGTTTCAAATTGTTGAATTTTTCAGTTTTTCGATTCTTCAATTTTTGGATATTTTGATTTTTCAGTTTTTTTAAAACTTTAGATATTTCGATTTCTCGATTTTTTCTTTGATAACTTTTTTCGATTTTTCAGTTTTTCGTTTTTACGATATTTTTGATGTTTTGATTTTTTTGACAGATTGGGTTATTCGATTTTTTAAATTTTTTGACTTCAATTTTTAGATTTGTCTCGATTTTTGAAAAATTTTGGATCGTGGAATTTTTCAATTTTTAGATTTTTTTATTTTTGGATTTTTTGATATTCCGACTGATCGATTTTTCAATTGATTTAGAATTTTTCAATTTTATTATGTTTTTTTAGTTTCAATGTCTAGATTTTTGAATTTTTCGATTCTTCAATTTTTCGATATTTTAATTTTTTAATTTTTTAATTCTTGTATTTTTTGGTTTCTCCATTTTTCGATTATTCAATTCTTTTGTCTCTAGATTTGTAATCTTCAAATAGACTTAAAGCCTTTTTAAATTTTTTTTTTGAAAATTTTTGTGGAAATTTCCAAATTTTTTCCGATTTCTTGATAGCGTGGTATTCGATTTTAAAATTTTTTTGACCATTACATTTTTAGATTTCTCGATTTTTCAAATTTTCGGTTTTTGGAAAACTTATTTTTCGAATTCGCGGTTTGAGACTTTTTGCTTTTTAAAATTTTCTATTTTTATTTTTTTTCTCAGTTTTTCGATTTTTCCTCACCTCTACTTTTCCATTTCCCGATTTCTCGATCTTTTGTTTGGATTTTTCGGTTTTTTGACTTTTCTGGTTTTCGATTTTCCAATTTGCCGATGTTTCGATTTTTCGATTTCCCAATATTTCGTGATTTGATTTTTGAAAATTTTCAATTTCGTGATTAATAAGTTTTTCCATTCTTTAATATTCCGAGTTTTTTAATTTTGGATTTTTGTTTTCCCGATTTTTCGGCTGTTCGTTTCCTCCACTTCAATTTTTCGTTTTTCAAATTTTAAATTTTTTAATTTTGAATTTTTTTCGATTTCTCTATTTTTGGATATTTTGATTTTGCAGTTTTTTTTTTAAACTTGGGTTATTCGACTTTTCAATTTTTAGATTTGTCTCGATTTTTGAAAATTTCATTTTTGAGTCGAAATTTTTCAATTTTTACATTTTTGTTATTTTTGGATTTTTTAATATTCCGACTGATCGATTTTTCAATTGATTTAGAATTTTTCAATTTTATGTTTTTTTATTAAGTTTCAATGTCTAGATTTTTGAATTTTTCGATTCTTCAATTTTTCGATATTTTAATTTTTCAATTTTTTAATTCTTGTATTTTTTGGTTTCACCATTTTTCGATTTTTCAATTCTTCTGTCTCTAGATTTGTAATCTTCAAATAGACTTAAAGCCTTTTTAAATTTTTTTTTTGAAAATTTTTGTGGAAATTTCCAAATTTTTTCCGATTTCTTGATAACGTGGTATTCGATTTTAAAATTTTTTTGACCATTACATTTTTAGATTTCTCGATTTTTCAAATTTTCGGTTTTTTGAAAACTTATTTTTCGAATTCGCGGTTTTAGACTTTTGGCTTCTTAAATTTTTCTATTTTTCTATTTTTTTTTTCTCAGTTTTTCGATTTTTTCTCCTCTACTTTTCCATTTCCCGATTTCTGCATCTTTTGTTTGGATTTTTCGGTTTTTTGACTTTTCTGGTTTGCGATTTTCCAATTTGCCGATGTTTCGATTTTTCGATTTCCCAATATTTTGTGATTTCATTTCTGAAAATTTTCAATTTCTCGATTGTTTAATTTTTGGATATTTTGTTTTTCTATTTTTTTTTATTTTTATAAATTTTAGATTTTTCGATTTTTTCTTTCATTAATTACTTTTTTCAATTTTTCGAGTTTATAAATGTTTGATATTTCAATTTTTAGATTTTTTAAATTAACCATTTTTGGATTTTTTTTGATATTTTGATTTCGTGATATCTTGCTGATTTGACTTTTACAATTTTTTGGCTTTTCAGTTTTTAGATTTCTCGATTTTTCAAAATTCATTGTTGGGAAATTTTCGACTCTGAATTTTTCGATTTTCACATTAATTTTAATTTTTGGATTTTTTGATGTTTCGACAGAATGATTTTTCAATTGGATTAGAATTTTTCGATTCTTCAATTTTCTGATATTTTAATGTTTCAATTTTTTTAATTGTTGGAAAAATATTTTTTTGGATTTTTTTTGGGAAAATATTCAAATTTCCAAAAAAAGCTCATTTCTTTTTGAAAATTTTTCGAATCCAAATTTCTGTTTTTCTCGGTTATTTCAGAAAATTTAGCAAAACTAAATTTGGTTGAAGGAAAATTTTTTTTTTTTTTTTGAAAATTTTTGTCTACAATTTTTTTCTATTATAAGAACTATAGCAGAAATGACTTACTTTACAATGCTTATATATTCCCAACTGATTAATCTACAGGGTGATTTATTTAGCTATAGAGTGCTCTGTTTTAAGGCGTAACACACCTTAGTTTTTTTTTTTAATGGAACACCCTATATATATTTTTACCTATTTTAATTAAGATAATACATTAAGATAAAAAATTTCGTATACAGAGTGTTTATAAAATATTAATTTTCAAATATCGATTTTCAGATTTTCAAATATATTTATAAAACATCCTATATTTTATTTTTGCATATGATTTTTACGAACGCTCTGTATAAATAAAAATAATTTGGTATAACTAAGTATTAATTAATAAAATTAATTAGAACGGCGTGGGCGGCGACGGCGACACCAACGGCAAATCCCGCTTCAGCAAATGGTTCACCACCGAAAGCATCACCACCGAGAGCCGCCGTTCCTCGATCCAAGACGAGTCCATCATCAAGAACCTCCTCAAAGACCTAAACGAGCCGAGCGTCTCCATCCCTGGCGACTCCAGCTCCTACTTCGCCCCCATCTCCCCGGCCGCCAACACCGGCGCCGCCATCGGCGGCGGCGTCCCCGCCGCCAACACCAAGTCCATCAACATCATGGAGATGCTGCAGCGAGGCAAGCAGAACGAAGCCGCCCTGAAGCCGCGTAAGCCACCCCCGCGCCCTTCCGACCCCAAGTCACGCACTCACCCCCTTCCAGAGGTCGCCGGGCGCATCCTGAATCTAAACGAGATCGAAGCCAAGATGCGCCAGAGCAGCAGCGACCCGCCGCAGATGCACAAGCACTCCCAGAAGACCGAGGAGGACATGAGCGCGTTCAACCGCCTCCTCGCCAACATGTCGAGCACGCACAGCGCCGCCAACGGCCCGATGAAGGCGCAGCCGATGAGCCTGATGGAGATGCTGTCGCACTCGCAGCAGCTGGACGAGGCGCACGCGCGCATGAACCAGCTGCTGGGGCCGGCGAGTCCGGGGGCGTCGCCGCACGACCTCGCGGCGAGACTCCAGCAGGTGCAGAGCCAGCAGCAGCAGAAGCAGCAGGTGGAGATGCTGACGAAGCTGATGAACGCGGGCATGCAGGTGCGGGCGTCGCCGCTCCCGGAGATGGGGCTGCAGCAGAGCAGGGAGCTGCTGAGCCGGCCGGAGGCGCAGGCGATACTGCAAGGTGAGCGGGGTGGGGGAGTAGGGGGTTGCTCCTGGGCTCGATGGGTGTTTGGGGCGAGCATGGGAGCGACCCCCGCCGGCGATGGTTAAATACATATATGGTCCCATGGTTTCGATGATCGGCGAATAAGAGATGGCGCAGGATTTTGTATAGGAGAAGTCGCGACGAAAAATAATTAAAAAATTCTTTATGATGTAGATTACGAAAAAAACGTAAGGCAAATCTAAGAAAAGAGAAGAGGGTGGGTGGGCGGGGCTAGTATCCGCTAAGATAAGAGGGATTTTGGCAAATGAGATATCCTCTAAGAAAAGAGAAACACCCGGTATATTAAAATTTCGTAGTAAATCGAACCATTTCTTGAATTTTCATAATTTAAACAATACTGATTCTAGCAATGTAACTCCAGATTTCGCAATTTGGCAATTTTTAGTTGCTTTATATCTCGAAATTTCGGTTTTTCAATTGAACGAATTTTCGATTTTTCAATTTCTAAGCTTTTCGATTTCCCGATTTTCCAGTTTTTGGATTTGTTGATATTTCGGCTTTCCAGTGTTTCGATTTCCACACTTTCCGATGTCTCAATTTTTTTATTTTTCGCCTTTTCCATTTTCCCATTTCTTGATTTTCTGAATTTCCGGTTTCTCTATTTTTTAGTTTTTAGATAATTATACAAGTTCTTTTGATTTTTCGACTTTGCGAATTTTTCAATTTTCTGACTTTTCGGTGTCTCATTTTTTCATTTCGGTTTCCCGATTTCTCACTTTTTCGGTCTCTCGATTTCCCGGTTTCTAGTTTTTTCGACTTTTCGGTTTCTCGATTTAGAATTTTCACTTTCTCGATTTTCTTTCGATTTTTCTGTGCCCCGATTTCTTCATTTTTCGGCGTCTCAGTATCTGGACTTTTCGGCTTTTTTCGATTTCTCTGTTCCTGGAATTTTCGATTTTTTGATTTTCCGATTTTTCAATTTTTCGGCTTTCCAAGTTCTCGATTTCCCGATTTTTCGATATTCCGAGTTTTTTAATTTTGGATTTTCGTTTTCTCGGCTTATCGTTTTTTTCACTTCAGTTCTTCAATTTTTGAATTTTTAATTTTTTCGATATTTCTATTTTTCAATTCTTCAGTTTTTGGATATTTTGATTTTTCAATTTTTCGAATTTTTAAATTTTTGATATTTTAATTTATTGGATTTTTTAAATTTAACCTTTTTCGATATTTCAGTTTTTCGTTTTTACCACTTTTTTGTAGTTTTGATTTCTTGGCATCTTTTTAAATTTTTTGACTTTAATTTTTAGATTTCCCGATATTTCAAAATTTCGTTTTTGAGAAAGTTTCGATCTCGGAATTTTTTAATTTTTGGATTTTTTGATATTTCGACTGATCGATTTTTCAATTGATTTAGAATTTTCCAATTTTTCAATTTTATTAAGTTTCAATCTCTAGATTTTTCAATTTTTTACTGTTCAATTTTTCTACTCCTCTGCTTTTCCATTTCCCGATTTCTCGATCTTTTGTTATAGATTTCTCGGTTTTTCGATTTTTCGATTTCCCAATATTTTTTCATTATTTCATTTTTGAAAATTTTCAATTTCTCGATTTTTCGATTCTTCAATTTTTGGATATTTTGATTTTTCAATTTTTTTAGAACTTTAGATTTTTCGATTTTCCAATTTGTCGATGTTTCGTCATTTTATTTTTGAAAATTTTCAATTTCTCGATTTTTCAGTTTTTGTATTCTTCAGTTTTCCGAGTTTTTTAATTTTGAATTTCCGTTTTCTCGATTCCTCATATTTTCGTTTTTTCTACTTCAATTTTCCATTTTAAATTTCAGGTTTCTGGAATTTTCAATTTTCTGATTTTTCGGTTTATCTATTTTTCAAGTTTTCGATGTCTCAATTTTTCGAAATTTCAATTTTGGGAAGTTTTCAAGCTCTGAATTTTTCAGTTTTTACATATTTAATTTATTCGATTTTTCAATTTTTCGATAATTTAATTTTTCCATTTTTCGAATTTTTCATTCTGATTTTTCAATTTCTCGATTACTCAATTTTTCGACATTTCGGTTTCCCGATTTTTCAATGTTTCGACTTTCAGGTTTTCCGATTTCTCAGTTTTTCGATCTCTCGATTTCCCGGTTTATATTTTTCTCTCGTTTAGATTTTTCAGTTTCTCGAGTTAATTTCGATTTTTCTATTTCCTGATTTTTTCGGTATCTCAATATCTCGACTTTTCTTTCGGTCTTTTTTCGAATTCCGTATTTTTCGAATTTAATTTTTTTTTTATTTTCCGATTTTTCGGCTTTTTGATTTTCCGATTTTTCGATATTACGACGTTTCGATCTCCCCAGATTTCATTATTTTTCAACTTTTGAAATCTAAAACTTGAAAAGTCGAGAAATTTAAAAATCGGAAAGTCAAAAAATTGAAAAATTCCAAAAATCTGAAATTTAAAAATTGAAAAATTAAAAAATCCAAAATTAGAAAAATTCAAAGATTGAAAACTTTCCAAAATTGAACTTTCGAAAAATTGTGAAATCGAGAAATCGAAATTTAAGAAAATTGAAAAATTAAAAAATCTGAAATTTTAAAAATGACAAATTGAAGTGGAAAAAACGAAAATATGATGAATCGAAAAAACGAAAATCCAAAATCAAAAACTCGGAAAACTGAAGAATACAAAAATTAAAAAATCGAGAAATCGGGAAATGGAAATCTTGAAGCGAGAAACAGAAAAATCGAAAAATTGATGTTTTGTTTGTTTGGTTTTTTAAGTGATTTTGAATTTTCCAATTCTAAAACGATAAAATTTTTGACTTTCCGATTTTTAAGTTTTTCAATTTTTCAAAATTTCAATTTTGGGAGGTTTTCAATCTCTGAATTTTCCAATATTCACGTATTTTAATTTTTCAATTAAGTTTCGATTTATCGATTTTTCAATTTTTCCGTATTTCGATTTTTCAATTTTTATAAATACTAGATTTATCCATTTCTGGATTTTCCGACTTTTCGGTCTCTCGATTTAGATGTTTCTATTCCCCGGTTTCTCCATTTTTCGTTATCTCAATGTGTCGATTTTTCTATTTTCCTTTAGGTTGCTCTATTTTTCCCCGAATTTTTCAGTTTTTAGATATTTTAATTTTTCGATTTCCCAATTTTTCAATATTTTCATTTTTCCATTTTTCGATTTTAAATTTTTTAAGTTTTTGACGTTTCTAAATTTTCAATTTTCCAATTTCTCATTTTCTTGATTTTTTTTTTATGTACCCATTTCTTGATTTCCCGAATTTTCATGTTTCGATTTTTTAATTTTTCTGTTCTCGATTTTTTAATTTTCCGAATTTTGAATTTTTCCAGGTTTTGGGATCTTTCAATTTTTCGATTCGTAAATTTTTCTTCCGTTTTTTAATTTTTCCATATTTCAGTTTTAGGATTTTGCAACATTTTAATTCCTCAGTTTTTCGATTTTTCGATAATATCGATTTTTAATTTTTAATTTTTCCAATTTTTCAATTTTTTTAAGTTTCAATTTTTCGTTTTTTCATGTTTTTTTTTAATTGTAGATTTTTAGATTACTTTTACCTTTTTCAGTTTTTCGAATTTTAAAATTTTTGATTTTTTAATTTTGATATTTTTAAAATTAACAATCAATTTTTAGATCTTTCGAATTTTCAAGTTTTTAATCTCTGAATTTTTCAATTTTTACATATTTAAAATTTTCAAATTTGTGATTGATCGATTTTGAATTTGTTAATTTTATTGAATTTCGATTTCTGGATTTTTCAAAATTTCAATTCTTACAGTTTTCGATATTTTGATTTTTAAATTTTTTTTAAATTGTGTGATTTTCGATTTCTGGTTTTTTTCCTATATTACTTTTTCAATTTTTCGAATTTTTAAATTTTTGATTTTTTTAATTTGTATATTTTTTAAACTGAACCATTTTAGGATTTTTCAATTTGTCGATTTTTTTTTAATCTTTTGATTTCTTGATATCGTGGTTATTGGAATTTTAATTTTTTTTACTTCAATTCTTCGATTTATCGATTTTTCATCTTTTTCTTCTGAATTTTTCAATTTTTACGTATATATTTTAATTTTTGGATTTTTAAAATTTTGGATTTTTGTCAATTTTTAGATTTTTAAAATTCAACAATTTTTGGATTTTTTAATTTTTACGTATTTTAATATTTCGATTTTTGGATCTTTCGATTGATGAATTTTTCAAAATTTCGAATCATTTTTTTGATATTTTGATTTTTCAATTTTTTTTTAAATTGTAGATTTTTCGATTTCTCAAATTTTTCTTTTATTACTTTTTTAATTTTTAAAATTTTTAAATATTTGATTTTTTAAATTTAACCATTTTTCGATTTTACGATTTTTTTTTGATATTTTGATTTCGTGTCATCTTGGTGACTCGATTTTTAAATTTTTTTACTTTAATTATTAGATTTTTCGAATTTTCGGTTATTTTATTTTCTGGTTTTTCAGTTTTCTGACTTTTCGATTTCTCAATTTTTCAAGTTGTCGATTAATAAATTTTTCAATATTTTAGTTTTTTCAAGTTTTCCATGGTTCAATTTTTCGTAATTTCAATTTTGGGAAGTTTTCATAAGTACTCTGAATTTTTCAGTTTTTACATATTTTAATTTTTCAATTTTTAAATTTTAGATTTTATATTTTTAAATTTTTAAATTTTTGGAATTTTTCGAAATTTCAATTTTGGGAAATTTTCAGTCCCCGAATTTTTCAGTTTTTACATATTTTAATTTTTCGGTTTCCCAATTTTTCAATATTTTCATTTATCCATTTTTCGAATTTTTTAGTTTTTTGGCTTCGATTTCTCGATTTTTCAAGTTGTCGATTATTCAATTTTTCGATTTTAATTTTTTGATTTTTGTAATTTGTCAATTTCTGTATTTTTCATTCTCTGAATTTTTCAATTTTATTAAGTTTCGGTTTCAGCATTTTTAAATTTTTCGATTTTTCCCTTTCTTACTTTTTTAAATATTTCGAATTTTTTAATTTTTTGACTTTTCACTTTTTCGTCTTTTCGATTTCTGGATTTCCCGATTTTTCGATGTTACGACGTTTCGTACTTTCTTGATTTCATGATTTCTCAATTTTTCCATTTTTCGATTTTTAATTTTTTAAGTTTTTGACGTTTCTAAATTTTCAAATTTCCTGAATTTTCATGTTTCGATTTTTCAATTTTTCTAGTTCTCGATTTTTTAATTTTTCGAATTTTGAATTTTTCCAAGTTTTGGGATTTTCAATTTTTCGATTCGTAAATTTTTCTTCCGTTTTTTAATTTTTCCATATTTCAGTTTTAGGATTTTGCAACATTTTGATTCCTCAGTTTTTCGATTTTTCGATATATCGATTTTTAATTTTAAATTTTCCAATTTTTCAGTTTTTACAACTTTTGATTTTTCAATTTCTCGATTTTCGTTTTCTCAATTTGTCGGCTTTTCGTTTTTTTTCACTTCAATTTTTCGATTTCTAAACTTCAAATTTTTGAATTTTTCAATTTTTTTAAGTTTCGATTTTTCGTTTTTTCATGTTTTTTTTTTTAATTGTAGAGTTTTCGATTACTTTTACCTTTTTCAGTTTTTCGAATTTTAAAATTTTTTATTTTTCAATTTTGATATTTTTAAAATTAACCATTTTTCGATTTTACGATTTTTGACATTATTTCTTGTAGTCTTCAAAATTTTTTTACTTCAATTTTTAGATCTTTCGAATTTTCAAGTTTTTAATCTCTGAATTTTTCAATTTTCAAATTTGTGATTGATCGATTTTGAATTTCTTAATTTTATTGAATTTCGATTTCTCGATTTTTTAAAATTTCAATTTTTACAGTTTTCGATATTTTGATTTTTATTTTTTTTTTAAATTGTATAATTTTCGATTTCTCGATTTTTTCCTATATTACTTTTTCAATTTTTCTAATTTTTAAATTTTTGATTTTTTAATTTGTATATTTTTAAATTGAACCATTTTAGGATTTTTCAATTTTTCGATTTTTTTTTTAATTTTTTGATTTCTTGATATCGTGGTTATTGGAATTTTAATTTTTGTTTACTTCAATGCATGAATTTATCGATTTTTCATCTTTTTCTTCTGAATTTTTCAATTTTTACGTATATATTTTAATTTTTATATTTTTAAAATTTTGGATTTTTGTCAATTTTTAGATTTTTAAAATTCAACAATTTTTGGATTTTTTAATTTTTTTATTTTAGGATTTTTTTGATATTTTGATTTCTTGCCATCTTGATATGCGTTTCTTAAAATTTTTTGACTTTTCAATTTTTAGATTTCCCGAATTTTCAAGTTTTAGATTTCCCAATTTTTCAAAATTTAAATTTTGGGAAGTTTTCAATGTCTCAATTTTTTATTTTTCAGTTGATTTTGAATTTGTCAATTTCATTAAGTTTCGATTTCTCGATTTTTCAAAATTTCGATTAATTTTTTTGATATTTTGGTTTTTCAATTTTTTTTAAATTGTAGATTTTTCGATTTCTCAATTTTTTTTTTATTACGTTTTTAATTTTTTAAATTTTGTTCGATTTTATGATTTTACGATTTCTTTGATATGTAATTTTTAATTTAAGATTTCCGAATTTTCAAGTTTTGGATTTTCAATTTTGCATTATTTCAATTTTCGGAAGTTTTCAATCTCTGAATTTTTCAATTTTTACGTATTTTAATATTTCGATTTTTGGATCTTTCGATTGCTCAATTTTCAAAATTTCGAATCATTTTTTTGATATTTTGATTTTTCAATTTTTTTTTAAATTGTAGATTTCTCAATTTTCTTTTTTAGCTTTTTTAATTTTTAAAATTTTTAAATATTTGATTTTTTAAATTTAACCATTTTTCGATTTTACGATTTTTTTTTGATATTTTGATTTCGTGTCATCTTGGTGATTCGATTTTTAAATTTTTTGACTTTATTTATTAGATTTATCGTATTTTCGAGATTTTGTTTTTTCAATTTTTCTCTGAATTTTCCGATTTTTTATTTTGTTTGATTTGTTTTCCAAATGATTGTGAATTTTTCAATTTTATTAAGTTTCGGTTTCCGCATTTTTAAATTTTTCGATTTTTCCTTTTTTCACTTTTTTAAATATTTGGAATTTTTAAATTTTTTGACTTTTCAATTTTTCGGCTTTTCGATTTCTGGATTTCCCGATTTCTCAATTTTTCGACTGCATGGAAAATTCTTGAGAGATCGGAGTGTTGTCAATTATCCAAAATGCTACCGATTTTTGAAGAAGTTGATACTTGAATCTTACACAAATTCTCATAATTTTTTGACATTTCGCTTTTAATCGTGTTAAAATTTGATTTTGAATTATTAAAATATACTATTTTTTATAAAACAGATTTGTTGGTGTGCGGCTAGTCTATGCGAAACATTGCTGCGCCATCTCTTGTCCACATGTATATAACCAACGCCGCCGGTAAACTAGTCGGCGACAATTTTTCCTTCCACCGTACGATGTTTTTGACGCTGGGTGTCCGTAAAAGGTCTGAAAATTGGCGATATCACGCCGCAACACTTGTACCAGCAATTGGCCAATCCGGCCCTGCAGCCCCGCCACCGCGAGATGCTGGTCACCATATTGAAATTGCAAGGTGGTGGGGGCGTGGGTCCGAGCCCTCGGGTGCTGAGCCCCGTCGCACCCCACCCCATGTTCCAGCAGCAGCAGCAACAACAGCAATTGCGCGTCTCGCCCCTGCCGCCGAACGGTGAGTCCGCTTAGCACGAGATGGCGCCACGATCGATCCTGCTTGGTCTCTGTTTGTCGCTTCGTAGTTAGGTCTGGCTTGTGTATACTGCGGCGGAGTTCCGCGTCGGTGACGAAAACTTCCATTATCACACCGGTCGCACACGCGCGGAACTCCGCCCTCTCGCTTTCTCAACTGATACACTGGGTCGCGGTCTTGTAATGGTCACGCATTTCGGCTAATCACTACAATATACCCTGTTATTGTTACATGCAGCATACTGTGTGTCTCCAATAATGGCCACAAGTCCAAACACCCTCACTGTACCCGGTGAGTTGATTTCGTTGACCCATCATTCACGAGCACACTGAATACCATACTATCATACGAGGGAGACGCGTGTTCGGGCGGGTTTACAGTGTGTTGATTTTCTAGCGCTGCATCAGCGTATTCCGTCGCCGAGGGAGCTGCAAGTGCACACGCAGAATATACTGCAGAGGGCGCTGATTAAGAAGAAGCTGGAGGAGCAACAGGAGAACTATAGGAAGAAGCAGGAGATGCAGCAGAGGGGGCAGAGCCCGAATAACAACAATAATAACACGAGCAGCAACAACAATAACAACAGCACGACCCAGGCGAAGAGCGTCTCGTCCCCGACGCCACTGGCATTCACGCCGACCTCAGTATTACGAAAAATGACGGCAGAGAAAGATGAAGGTTCGTGGGTTATTTTGCTTATTGTAGTCGAGTTTGTTGGACGATTGGTTACTTTTTTGTTTTTTCGACGTTTCATAACCCGTGGACTATGAAAAGATAGGTCTCCCGTTTCCGTCGTCTGTCTGTCTGTCGTCTGTCCGGATTTTTATTAGACAGATAATCTCCGAAACTATTGGACAGATCGTGGTCAAGTTTTATATGTATATAATATAAGATATGAATCTGTGTCGATTTTTTACCTTAATGATCAAAATTTTGAAAAAAAAAACGAAATTGTGTAACATTTAGCAACTTAACTTTGATTTTTTTATAATTTAGTTAATTTTTCAAAATTTTAAAATGTCTTGACTTTCCAATGTTTTAATGTTCCAGTTTTCCAATTCTTCAATTTTTCGATTTTCCAGTTTTTGATATTTCGATTTTTAGACCTTCCCGATTTTCTGATTTTTCAGTTGTTCAATTTTTTGATGCTTCAATTACCCGATTTTTTTAACTTGACAATATTTTAATTTTTTAAATTTTAGATTTTTCGTTTTCTCGATTTTTCAGTTCTCCGATTTTTCCATTTTTAGAATCTTCGAGTTTTAAATTTTGGATCTTTATTTTTTTTTCTCGATTTCTATTTCTTTTGTTGTTTCGATTTCTCAGTGTTTCAGTTTTTTGAGTATTTCTATGTTCCGATTTTTCCATTTCTGGTTTTTTCGACTTTTCTATTGCTCGACATTTCCATCTCCCAATTTCTCCATTTTTTTTTGTTTCGATTTTTCGATGTTTCAGTTTTTGAGGATTTCAATATTTTTCGTTTTTTCGATATTTTAAATTTTTAAATTTTTTTTGGTTTTTCGAATTCCCAGTTTATCCATTTTTCAATTTTTAGATACTCAAGGTTTTTTATTTTCCGACATTACGATTTTTTAATTTCCCGATTTTTCAACCTTTCGATTTCTCGATTTCTCAATTTTTCGATGTCTTGATTTCTCGACTTCCCGACTTCTGTGTTTTTATTTCCGGATTTCTCAATTTTCCGATTTCCCGATCTTTTGCTGTTTCGGCTTGTCGATGTTTTAGTTTTTGAACATTTCAATGTTGCGATTGTTCGATTTCTCGTTTTTTTGAATTTCTGAGTTCTCGGTTTTTCGATTGTCCAACTTTTCGATTTCCCAATTTTTCCTCATTTCCGTTTTGAAAATGTTCAATTTCTCGATTTTTCAGTCTTTGTATTCTTCAATATTCCGAGTTTTTTAATTTTGGATTTTCGTTTTCTCGATTCCTCATATTTTCGTTTTTTCCACTTCAGTTTTTCAATTTTAAGTTTCAGATTTTTGAAATTTTCAATTTGTTGAAGTTTTTTATTTATCGATTTTTCAATTTTTCGGTATTTTAAGTTTTCAATTTTTCGAATTTTTCAATTTTCTGAGTGTTCGTTTTCTCTATTTTTCAAGTTTTCGATGTCCCAATTTTTTGAAATTTCCATTTTGGGAAGTTTTCAATCTCTGAATTTTTTAGTTTTTACATAGTTGAATTTATTCGATTTTTAAATTTCAGATTTTTGAATTTTTCAATTTTTGAAGTTTCGATTTCTCAATTTTTCGACTTTTCGGTCTCTCGATTTAGATTTTGCAATTTCTCCATTTTCTTTCGATTTTTCTATTCTCCGATTTCTCCATTTTCTCGGCATCTCAATATCTCGACTGTTCGGTCTTTTTTCGATTTCTCAAATTTTCAAATTTTTAATTTTTTCATTTTCCGATTTTTCGGCTTTTCGACTCCCGATTTTTCAATTTTTCGGCTTTTCGATTTTTCGATATTACGACGTTTCGATCTCTTGATTTCATGTTTTTTTTTCGATTTTCCTATTTCTCGTTTTTCAATTTTTAGGTATTTTAATTATTCAATTTTTACAACTTTTTATTTTTCGATTTCTCGATTTTTCAATTTTTCGAATTTTTAAATTTTAGATTTTTGAGTTTTGCTGGTTGGAATTCTCGATAGTTACTTTTAGAATTCTCCGTTTTAGATTTTTCGGTTTTTAAATTTTTTAATTTTTCAATTTTTCTGTTTCTCGCTTTGAGTTTTTGAGTATTTCTCTGTTCCGATTTTTCCATTTCTGTTTTTTTCCACTTTTCGGCTTTCGATTTTACAATTTTTGTAATTTCTTTAAATCTTGAATATTCGTTTTCCCTATTTAATGGCTTTTAGATTTTTCGAATTTCCAATTTTTCAATTTTTTTGATTTGTAAAATTCAGATTTTTGAATTTTTCAGTTTTTCAATTTTTGTATGTTCCGATTTCTGAATTTTCCGACGTTGCAGAGCTTCACGATATTAAAATTTTTTGATTCTTAGATTTTTTGTTTTTTAAATTTTAGATTTTTCAGTTTTTTGATGTTTCGAATTCTCGGTTTTAGATGTTTGGGTTTTTAAATTTTTCGATTTTTCAATTTTTCTTTTTCGCTTTCGTTTTTTTTTGGCCTAGGTCGATTTCTCAATTTTTCGATTTTTCCACTCCTCGACTTTTCCATTTCCCGATTTCTCAATCTTTTGTTTCCATCTCTCGATGTTTCAGTTTTTGAATATTGCGATGTTTGGATTTTTCAGCTTTTCGATTTATCAGTTTTTTGATTTTTCAATCTTCCAAGTTTTTAATTTTGGATTTTAGTTTTCTCGATTTGTCTGCTTTTCGTTTTTCCACTTCAATATTTTGATTTCTAAACTTCAAATTTTTGAATTTTTCGATTTCTCAATTTTTTCTTTAATTACATTTTTCAGTTTTTCGGGTTTTAAAATTTTAAATTTTTCAGTTTTTAGATTTTTAAAGTTTACCATTTTTCGATTTTGTGAATTTTTTGACTTCAATTTTTAGATTTCTCGATTTTTCAAAATTTCAGTTCTTCGATTTTTCGGTACATACTTTGATTCTTCTTCTTTTTTTTAATTTAAATTTTTCGCTTTCTCGATTTTTTCGTTTTTAGTTTTTTAAATTTTTAGATTTTTGAATTTTTAGATTTTACGATTTTTTTGATATTTTGATTTCTTGCCAAATTGGTTATTCGATTCTTAAAATTTTTTGACTTTCCAATTTTTAGATTTCCCTAATTTTCAAAATTTCAGTTCTTCGATTTTTCGGTACATATTTTGATTCTTCTTTTTTTTTAATTTAAATTTTTCGCTTTCTCGATTTTTTCATTTTTAGTTTCGATTCTTCAGTTTTTCGATTTTCCGATATATCGATTTTTAATTTTAGATTTTCCAATTTTTTTTGATGTTTCGATTTTTCAATTTTTTGATATTTTAATTTTTCAGTTTTTACAACTTAATTTTTCAATTTTTCGGTTTCTCGATTATTCGAATTTTCAATTTTTCAAATTTTTAATTTTTAGATTTTTCAGTTTTTTGATTTCCCAATTTTCCGTCATTTCAGTTTGGAATGTTTCCATTTCTCGATTTTTCAGTTTTTCGATTCTTCAATTTTATGATTTTTCAATTTTTGTAATTTTTTTAAATCTTGAATATTCGTTTTCCCCATTTAATGGCTTTTTGATTTTTCGAATTTTCAATTTTTCAATTCTTTGATTAGTAAAATTTAGATTTTTTAATTTTCCAGTTTTTCAATTTTTGTATGTTTCGATTTAAAAATATTTTGACTCTTGGATTTTTTGTTTCTTAAATGTTTGAGTTTTTAATGTTTCTAAATTTTCAATTCTTCTATTTCTCAATTTCTCGATTTTTTTTATTTAGCCATTTCTTGATTTCACGACTTTTCAATTTTTCGAATATTATAATTTCTCAGTTTTTACAACTTTTGATTTTTCAATTTCTGGGTTACTCGATTATTACTCAAATTTTCAATTTTTCGAATTTTTAAATTTTAGATTTTTCAGTTTTTCGATTTCTAAATTTTTGAATTTTTCGATATCTCAATTGTTTCTTGTATTACTTTTTTCAGTTTTTTGATTTTTCAATTTTTAGATTTATTTTTAATAATAATAATAATAATAATAATAATAATACGTTTATTCATTCCAACAGACGTTAGTCTATGGTGGACATGTATACACAAAAAGACATTAAATTCAGCTTAAACTAAACTTACAATTTAAAAAAAAAATCTAAAAAAAAAAAATTTAAATCTAACATCAGAACAAATATTATGTACATATATTATTGTGCATATCGTGCTAATAACTTTTTTTTGAAAGATGCTTTATTAAAATTAGCGTGAAAAATATCAATGCTATCGTCTAAAGTACAGTTATTATAAAGTCTAAAACATGTAATTAAGGGGCTATTAAAGTGATGATAAGAATTTGGAATTTGATAGTAAAAAGTGGATGGATTTCTGCACAATAAACGAGGAACACAAAAGTTAATATTATTTAGTAACGCTGGACAGAATATATCACCACGCACCAATTTCTGCAAAAATACAAAACAAGCAATATTTCGTCTATACTCGAGAAAATTTTCATTCACTATATTAAGAAGAGCTCTCTGGTTACAATGACTAACAGGATAACAGTTGAACATTTTAAAATACAGATACTTAGCAAATTTCCTGTTAACGTTTTCTATAATATTAATATAAATTTGGTGATGAGGTCTCCAAATTATAGAACAGTATTCTAACTTTGACCTAACTAGACTATAATAAAGCTGTTTAATACATAAAATATTATTAAATTCTTTAGTATTTCTACAGATGAAGCCAAGTGTCTTGATAGCTGAATTTGTTATATCAATGATATGAGGAACAAATGACAATGCAGAGTCTACAATTATGCCTAAATCGCGTATTTGATTACAGTTTTCTAGCAAAGTTCCATTAATATTGTAATAAAAATTAAAATTAGTGTCTTTCCTGGAGAATGTAATTTTTCTACATTTTTTTTTATTAAGGCTTAACTTATTCTGTTCACACCACAGCGCTAATTTATCTACATTATCTTGTAAAACTAAACAATCTCTGTTCGTTTTTATTACTTTAGCTATTTTTAAATCATC